CCGAGGCCCCGCGCCGCAGCAGGTGGCGAACCCACCTGTGTCACACCTGGATGAGGGCTTACTCCAGATTCCAACGAAGGGGAGCTCTCAGACAGCGTGGCATCATCCTAGCACTTCCCACCCATTTGGTGGCCCTAAGTCCTTGAAAAATTAGCCAAGAGCAGTTAACTTTATCGTCACAGGAAGGTCGGTCTCTGGACGTCCTTAAAGTTGTTTCCACCAACCTTAACACCAGCTACTCAGTCTGCTGGGCACTGTAGTGCATCTTAGAGCTAGAGGCCCCTTCCCCTCCTCCACTGCCATGAGAGCCGCTGCTGGGCAGCAGCCTTTCTGGGCCCCAGGTCCCCTGCGTGGCCCACCGTGGGAAGCACAGAGAGAGGGGCACACAGAGGGAGATGCAGCAGGACAAGGTCTCAGCAAGGGCTCAGCTCTGAAGCTCAGAGCTCTCGGGGACACCACCGTGTCCCGGTCTGCAAGGGAAAGTGTCTCAGGTGGCCCACGTTTCCATCAAATTCCTACATAATACGGGGCAGCCTTGGTTTTCTTTCCTTTTCTTTCTTATTTTGAAGGAAGAGAGCAAAAAACTGCGGCAGGCCCGTGGAGTCTGTGGCGGGGGAAGGCAGGGTGCACAGCAGACATCAAGCGCACAAGCACATGAGATGGAACTCGAATTACATGCCCAGATCCTCATTCACTGTCCTAATTAGCAGCCACTAATAGGGCACTGAATGGCAGAGGAATAATTTCCACCTGATTCTTTCCATCAGAAGTGAGTGACAGCTGTGAAATTCCATCAGAGGTGTGAAGGTCACATGTACACTAACCTAATGTTTGTGACGTTCTAGGAGACCAGCCATGAGCATGGCCAGTGAGGTCTGGGGCAGCTAATCGCCCTTCTTGTCACCAAGAAGTAACGGGGCAACTTCAACAGGTCCGAGTGCAGCTTCTGTTTCAACACCAGATGTGTAATATGCACATACTATTACGGGTTAAATTCTGTCCCCTAAAAATGTGTTCCAGTCTGAACCCCCAGCACCTGTGGGCCTAAATCCAGACACGAGTGTCTTCATGAGATGAGGGAAACCTGGACACAGACCCAGGGAGAAGGCCCCGTGACGACACGGCAGAGACTGGAATGACGCGTCCACAAGCCCAGGAACGCCAAGGGCTGCCAGTCACCCGGAACGTGGATTCTCCCACATTCCCTCCAGAAGGAGCCAACCTGTCAGCAACTCGATCTCAGACTCCTGGCCTCCGGAGCCGTGAGAATACATCTCCACTGTTTCAAGCCACACAGTTTGTGGTAATATGTCATGCAGCCCTAGGACTCGGATACACACATGTATCTCACGCACACGCACGATTAAAAGGGTATTTGCCTGCACAACAATTTTACTCTTTGGATTATTTTTGTGGACTTACGGGCTCCCTACTGGGTTACCCACTTTTGCATTGTTAATCCACTAATTAAAAAACACACATAAGGGCTTCCCTGGTGGCGCAGTGGTTGGGAGTCCACCTGCCGATGCGGGGGACGTGGGTTCGTGCCCCGGTCCGGGAAGATCCCACATGCCGCGGAGCGGCTGGGCCCGTGAGCCACGGCCGCTGAGCCTGCGCGTCCAGGGCCTGTGCTCCGTGATGGGAGAGGCCACGGCGGTGAGAGGCCCGCGTACCGCAAAAAACAGAAACAAAAACAAACAAAAACAAAAAAACCCACACATAGTATTTAAATCCATTCCCTCATTTCAGTTGTATCTTTAAAATAATCTAAATTGTATGAGTCAGCTGCCTTTGCCACGGGGATAAAGTACCAACCCAAATGCATCACACGAAGCACAACAGGTGTCATCCTCTGAGGGGTGATGGAACCTGCACTCTGGCGAAGGCTGGGGGTCCGAAAACAGAAGGCCCTGGCCACCTTCACCCTCCCAGCAATCTAAAGATGCCCACCACAGGTCAGAGTAACACTAAAGGACATTTACACGTTAATTAAAGCAAAAGAAGAGCCTGTGCATACGGGAGAAGGGCAGGAAGCGCCAGTGGGCTGTGTGCACAGGCAGAGCCCCCAGGAACACGCCTCCCATGTAAAGCCCCCGCTGTACGGGGCAGGCAGTGGATCACTCCAGCCATTTTAAGAGGAAAGGGGATGAAGCTGCAGGTAATAATAACAGCAAGAAAACGGAGAGGTCTCACAGCTCAGCCAGAGGCCAAACCTCTCGGCCTGGCGGCCGTGACACACACCTTCAGCTGCGTCCTAACCTGACCCTTTGCTACGAACGAAGCTGCAGGTGGTGCTGAGCTGTAATCGGCTTCATCAACCTCCCGCACACGCCAGAGAGGATTCCCTTTGCTCTGCTGTTCCCCATAAACCTGGGTGATGACACAGAACACTGCAGCTCCAGAACATTCTCCGTGGAAAGCTTCTCACTGAAGCGAGCAAGGGTAATCGATGGATGTTAATGCATCCGGCAAGGACTGAAATCACTTCGCAGCCACAGGCTCTGAGACCGGGGGCAGGGACTCCTGGGTGCCAAGACGATGAGAAAGCAAGGCTTTTCTCATTCATTTCCTTTTGGAAACAACAAATTACGGTGCCCTCCTGCTGCCACGTGGGACTCGCCCCAGTACATGGACAGAACATGGGAAGCAAAGACATGCCCACCTGCCTGGTTCCAGGGCGGCTGGCCTCTGGGAAACAGGGAGTCGTGGGGACTAAAGGCTTCCAGGCACCAGGCGGCGCCTGCTCACAATTCTTCCGGGTCCCGGAGGACCTGACGCACGTCCCCTGGGGGGACCTCTCTACGCTCCTGGCAACGTCAAGGAACAATCCCCTGACCTCTCAAACGGTGAGAGGACAGGTGGCCAGGTGGCAGGGCCAGCTCCTGAAGGGCGCGAGCAAAGATCTCGGACAATCTTTCCCCCGACCCAGGAGCCCTTGGGCACAGACCCCACTGCGGGGTGAGATGTTTCCACTTTGCAGATGAAAGAAGGGACGTCCCGTTACCGAACTCGAGAATGCATCCACCCTGTAAAATAATGTACTCTGAAAATCGTACGATACCATGAAATTCCCGGAATAAAATGTGTTACCTGGAAAGTCGAAGAAGTAGGGCTGTTACAGAGCACATTTAGGTCTCCCCACTGGGTACAGTTTTTACTTTTGATGTGCGAACGTTCGAGAGAAAGGCTTTTGTGTTCATCAAAATATAAGGGCCCGCCACAAAGAAATCACAGTCAGGGCCAAATGCGATCGCACAAACTGAACGCCCAAAGGAAGATGGCAAAAGCCACAGTAAGGACGAAACAGCACCACGCGGGGAAGGGGAAGGCGGCCACAGGCGGGAGAGCCGGGACCCGCGCCAACCACGCCAGACGTCGAACGGAGCACAGGAGAATCCGGCTCGTGGCAGCAAAACCAGGGCCCAGACCACGAAACCTCCAGGGACCCCCGACCAAGGGGTCCCCTCAACTGAAATCCTGAGCATTCCAGGGGCACACAGGCAGCTTTACTTGAGGAGGTGATCCTCTCACTTGCAGTCCAGCTAATGAGTCCAGCAGCAGCTGGTGTCATCAATCTACACAATTGCTAGACCCGAGGAATAAGTAGAACCCCCAAGAAAAAGGCTCTAAAATACTCTCGGGTATAATCAAAATGACTATGGCTAAAACCCACAGCCAGACACAAAGGCACAAATACACAAGTACAACGCAGGTACGGATTCCAGGAAAGAAGATGGCCGACTTTCTCACCTCTCTGAAGCACGCAATTTTCTAGCATCTGTATCCATTTCTCAGTGTCTAGCTATGCTTTTCCTCATTGATTCCCACATTTGAGCCTTCACTTCCAATCTCCCTTAAACCATCATTTCAATACGGATAACAAAAAACGTAGGCCTTTCCCTCATGTGACCACCACGAGACTTTTATGGCGGGATCGCAAAATGCTGCAAAGTCATGGCAGAGCCCCACGCAACGACTGCCAAAGAATTCCATCTGCCACACTTTTCTGAACGGTTACACAGTATCCAAGACAGGAGTTAAATACTAGAACAGGTGTTACAGGAAACATGTGAAGCTACTCAGGACTACTGCTAAAAAGACGTCTAAGGGACAAAACAGGGTGAAATGTTGAACTTAAAAAAAAAGGAAAGGATCAAATGAAACAAAATAGGATGATATACACAGAACAAGGAGGGAAGGGAAGACTACAGCACAGAGTTGTGTCTCTCCTCGCTCTTCAAACAAGACAAGCGCTGCCATGAAGAAAATGTATAGTTACCTGCGTCCATATCTGCAAAGAATGGAACAGCCAGTAAGAAAAAGAAGGAACCAGAAATTCAGTGTCTCAGAGTTGGATTTTCAAAGGTTACATGGAGAGAAAATATAATTTAGAAAACTGTGTGTGGACACTCTACCTGGATTTGGGGACACGGGAGCTAAGCGGTTTCCTAGCATTACTACCATCATTTTATTTAAAGCAAAAAAACAAAATATGGATATGTTAACTGAAGAAGTAAAAGCCTCATGGCAAAAGAAATAGCTTCTTCTCATGCAAAGTGATTATTAAATGTTTACAATACAATATAAGGGGGAAAACATACTCAAACACATGGTGGTGGGTCATCTGAAAGGCTCGGATCTATGACTAAGGAACAGTACACACAAATTAGGTACAAACTCAAGATCTAGATCAGAGAAACGTCCAAGCAGTAATCGTTAAAGGAGCGACACTGGGTTCACATCTGAAGGGACAGAACGATTCGGGACGAAATACATTCAACAGCGTTCATGGTTTGACTCTATCTGCTCCAAATGCAGAGATGGTTAGCGAAAAATACTACAGAAGAAGCAACGTGCCTACGGATCTTTACTGCTTGGTTATGTCATGATTACTTTTCTCGACATGGGATACGTCACAGTAATAATTTAGAATATGCTAACAAAAAATTCAGAACACTAAACTCGCTAGAGGTGGAGGCTGTGTGACACACGCAGCATACCTTCGGGAGACTCCTCCTGGACGTACGTGCCGGTCAGATAGCGATGCACCAGGGCCGACTTGCCACTGGCTAAATTACCCACAATGCCCTGAAACACAGAAATGGGCAGTCACTGAGGAGTAGTCAGTATATCGTGTGATTCAGCAACCTGCAATAGAGAGGTTAAAATGGACGGCAATCCTGAACACCACGACCAAGCATCAGCGGGATGGCCGAAAATGGGCTAAATGCTTCTGCTGGAGAAGAAGGGATTCCAACACCTTCAATTAACCTCTCACGTTTTATCAGCCTCTACAGCCTGAAGAATCAACATGGTTAGAACACACACTGAATCCCGTGAGTGCTGGTTACATCAGGAAGGTATACAGTGCGTCAGCCCACCAACATGTATTGTGGACCCTCGAAACACTCAACAAGGTATGAGGTTCAATGGGGCGCAGTGGCAGTACAGAGCCACAAGGGGATTGGGAGGACGTGCATTCCGTCACAACTCTGGGGTAGGATTTGCAGCCGGGTGAGACTAGCTGATAAAGAGCCACACCAAAAAAGCACAGTGCCAGGGAGGGACCGGAGGGGAGAAAACTGGACCAAGGCGGGGAGAGGAGGAGAGCCGGCCTGCATCTCTGGACACGGGGTCCACACGGCAGAGCAGGGACCCACGGTCAAGGCGGCAAAGGTGTTCGTTCTGGATGGAAACCAGGTCAGCATGACGTGAGGGCCACTGTACCAGCAAGCGGGAACTCACAGTCACCGGCAGGCAAGGCTGGCTTCACCCTGCCTTCTTCAGAGAAAGCTCCCGTGTTAACACAGCGGACACACCTGGACTCAGGTGGCTGTCCCTGCTCAGGATCTCACTCCCCCTCTATCTTCCGTGCAAAGACTCTCCTGCATTTTAATCTTTTCCTCCCCGGCTAGAACTTTCCCCTCTGCATTTAAGCATGATCCAACCAATTCTCTCTTGAGGAAAAGCAGGACGAGAGACCTGCCCTGGACACAGGTCCCCTGCCTACGAAGAGCCTGCCTCCCTCTCGCCCACTCTCTGACCCTACCCACCCCCAGCCTGCTGTTTTGACCCTATGGCTACAAGGACACTGCTCGAGGTCACCGAGGACTTCTGTTTCTAATCCCCTGGCCCTCCCCTTGCTGCAACACCGGAAGCTGTAGAGGAGATTCTCTTTCTTCAAACTTCCCGCTCTGGGCTTCCTCTTCAAATTACCCCCAGCCCACGCTGGCTCCTTCCCTAGACCTCCTAGATTCCCTAGATCCTGGATTCTAAGTACCCCCCCCCCTCCAACCAAGGGAGCCAGGCTACATCCCACCTACTCCCAGTAAGCTATGGATACCACTCTCATTCTCCAGCCCCACCCCCTCTCAGGTAAACCCACACACACCTACACTGGTACTGAAACCTCAGCATGTCCAGACCTTACCGTTCTCTCCCCAATCTGCTCATCATCCTGTGATCACATCACCGCTCAGACTCCCAAGCCAGACACCTGGACGCCGTCTCCAATTCCCACCCCGCCCAGATGTGCTTTTGAGGGTCTCCACACACACACCCCCACCCCCACCACGGGGCAGGCTGTGCGTCCGTCCACTGGATCCTGGGAGAGCCTTTAGCTTATCTCCCTGCCTGGGAGCTCCCCCTCTTCGCCCAGAGAATACCAGAGATTCTTTAAAATTGACACTGCAAAGATGCGACTCCCTCATTTCACAACTCTCGGGAAGCCTCCCACTGCCTGCAGGCCAGAGTCCAAGTATTTCATGAACAGACCCCCAAAGCGTCTCCCTCGAAATGCTCACGATCAACTCTGCTGCAGGCACCCAGGTCCAGCAGGGACCACAGGAACATACCACTCACCTGGGCACCCCTCCCTTCCCCCGAAGAGAGTTTTGGGGTGGCTTCCCTGCTTCTCTACACACCCAGAACACTTCACACTGACTGCTGACGCTCTTGACGCCACCCCCCAGTACGCTCGGGTCCCCGAAGACCAAGAACTGTGTCTCTGATGCTGGCAAGGACACCTCTCTGAACGCCTACACTCAGCACTGTCTCCGGCCCCAGTGAAGTGCCGGTAAACATGGGATGGTTGGATGGATGGATGGAACAGGGGGTGGGGGGTGTGCCTGGTTGGCTGGATAAATGGGTGACGGTGCCACTAATGAGAAGAACAAACATAAAAGCGAACAAATTTGCCACGAGATTGTGGAAAGTAAGTTAAAACCTGATCTAAAACCCTGAACCATCCTGTCCCTCCCACCGTCATGGTCCTTTCATCCTCAGCTTCCCACTCCCTGCTTCGTCCTCGATATGCCAGTGACCAAACACCATCCTAACAGGCCTTGCAGACTCCGGACGCCTAGATCGTTCCACATCAATCGCTGCCCAAAATAATACTCCTACTCGTGGGTCAGCAATCGGTTCAGATGTCACCTCCTCTGAGAAGCCTTCCTAATGCCACAGCCTCAACCGGTGCCTCTCCCCAAAGCTCCCTTAGTGCCCTCCTCCTAACGCTACCTTGCCACTTACCTCTTTGTTTCCCCAACATCGGTATGTGGGTCTGACTCTCTCCAGTGCTGACAAGGGACTGGGTCTCGTTTGTGTCTGGTTCTCTACCCCCCAGCATTGCCCACGGCGGACTCCTAGCAACACTGGGTGAATGAATGAATGAATGAATGACACTAACGCCAGTGAGTAGAAACGAGATGCTTTATTACTACAGCTCCAAGCCCCAGACTACGTGGACGGATCCCTTCCTGATTTGACTGATGTCTTCCCTTCGCTTTGGGCCTCTATAATCTGAGAATTTCTACCTGTTAATTATTCTCTTGCTCAAGGGTACCTGCTGCTTAGTCAGCTTCACACTGAGAAAATCCGAAACAGTATGCCGCAGAATTGAATTTTTAATTAAGATTAGGCTTTTTCTTTCCCGAGGAGGAAAATGTTCAAAATCACTGTTCAGTCTGTGCTTTCTGTGTGTGGCAATATTCCCTCCTTCTTACATGTCAATGATTTGCTAAGAATTTACTCACCCCTTCTAGGGATCAAATCACTCAATCCCGGGGGCGGGGGGGGGGAGGTGTTTTATTTGGACTGAATGGCCATCTCATATACCTCCTTATGTCTGCGCACCGTGGGCATTGTTTTAATTTGAAACACTGGCAGAAACAGCCAGCCAGCTGTGAGGAGGAAATAAAGTGAGGGATGAAAATGCTCTTTAAGCTGTAAAGCTGCACTGGGATCCATGAACTGCTACTGGATACGAACCAGAGAGAACGGAATCAGGCCAGTCGGGGTCTACAGGCTCGGGGAGAAGCAAGGTAACACGGGAAAAGTGTCCTGAAAATCACAGAACTGTGTATTCTGCTGGCGACACGTCATCACACGGGCCCGGCATCCTCTGGGCAGGGCTGTGAACAGTCACATCACACGAGGTGTCTTTCTAAACTGAGTTCTCTACCGTCCCACACTTCACCACGTAGCAGCTTATACACGTGGTTTGCTGAAAATAAAATCGAGGCTTTTGGTAAAAATCCCAGTTGAGAATTCAATGAGAACGCGCAAATAGGACATGACGGGTTGCTGACAGACGCCCACCTCTACAGGCCAGGGATCTACGGAGTGGTTTCCTTTCCGCCCAGAGGTAAGTGGTCAGCACGTGCTGCCTGGCACACGTCTGCAGGGACCCGAGTGTGGACCCAAAGCAACTGGCCCCCATCACACAACCTCAGGAAGCATATAGCATGGCACTACCACTCTTGAAAAGAATGCGAACATTGGGGAATTCCCTGGAGGTCCAGTGGTTAGGACTCCTTGCTTTCACTGCCGAGGGGCCGGGTTCAATCCCTGGTCAGGGAACTAAGATCCCACAAGCCATGTGGTGGGCCAAAAAAAAAAAAAAGAAAAAGAAAGCAAACATTGACATTTTTTCTCTGACAGATTCCAGATGGTTTATGGCCCAACATTACATGAAGAGTCCATCTGAGGCTTGCTATCATGTCACTGAATTGCTGCGTTTCTGAAAGAGTCAGGGGTTCCGAGGGTGCCGACCTAAGGGACCACCTGTCCCGGGTACTGTACCCAGGCAGGACACAATCGCAGCCCTGTGGACACACAGAGGCTGCCCCGGACAAAGGAGCACTTCTGTAGACGCTGGGAACGCCTTAGCACAGAAGGGATCTGCTGAGGAGGCCGAGCTGCCCGCTGCACCCCCCAGGCAGGAGGATGCCCGGCCCAGAGCGGAGCTGGCCGTCCTGCTGGGGTCTGGGCCGTCCCCGCACGGGTCGGGGCAGAACTGCAGAATCCTCCCCCTTTACTTCTCCGTGAGATGGAGTCCACCGCTCCTGTGAATTCAAGCCACCTTTGTGAGAGTCCTGTTTTAGGATCATAAGTCCGCACCACCGGTTAACACAAGCGCCCCTACACCTCCAAGCACTGATTCCAGAAAACTCATGCTTCTGAAATACCAGCAGAGAACAGGTTTTGGTAGGAGGCGTCCTCAGTCACGGGCTGCTATGCGGGCTCTGGTAGAACCCTCACCACCTTTAACTCCCCAAACTGGGTCTAAACCATGGGGCTTGACATCCTTCAACTTTAAACTTCAGCTCCTCCCTTACACTGGCCACACTTCAGATGCTCTACAGCCGCACGGGGCCCATGGGTGCCACCCTGAAGACAGAGAACATTTCCACGTTGCAGAAAGTTCTGCCGGCAGAGCTGATGTGGAAGCCCAAACTCCAGGTTCAGATACCGGCTCCGCGTCTCACTACCCAGGGCTTCCTTGGGCACACCCTTAACGTGTGAGGCTCCGCCCCCGATGCCTGGGGAGTGGGGACAACAGCACGACCGGCTCAGGACTCAAGGTGACGGCTCCACCCAGGAGGCACCCCACGTCCCGCACAGAGTAAGTGTCGTCACCAGAACGCTGTTCCCCTTGCTTTACTCCGACGGCAGGCCCCCAACCTTTGGCTGGCTCAAGAGGCCGCCTCTGAAACTGGGAAAGCTCCCTGGGAACCTCCCAGCAGCACTCCTGGCCGCGCAGCCGCGGTTGCTGACGTCGCTTCCCGACAGTGTCCCGCGGGATTCGCTCTGTTCTGGGGACGGCGTCACAGAGCACAGGGGACAGAGCGGCACTGTCCCAGGGCTGGGCTTGCGGAACCCGCGCTTCTGGAACGGCCCTGGAACCGTGGGCCCCTCTGCCTCCCCCCAAGGAAGGAGCCATCGAGAAAGGTCAGACCTGCTGGGAGGAAGGAGCGGGGACGAGAGGGGAGGGCAGGGGGCCTGGCCTGGACGCCTGGCAGTGGCAGCGGGGACACACATCAGACGCCCTCGGGCCAGGGGGACGTCAGGGGGCCTGCCCACGAGCCCTCCCTTCAGGCCTTAAGTTTCAAAACCTGCTCTTCCCGGTGACACTGGAAGTCACAGACACACTTGGCCTTGCTCCATCTCCTTGTCTCGGAGGGAGAGGCCAGAGGGGGCCTGTCCCCCGCCCCCCCGGGTCCACCCGTGAAGCACCGCAGGTGGCTGGGGCCCCGGGAAGGGCATCTGAGGGCCTCTGGGGTCACCGGGCAGACAGGCTGGAACTGCTAACAAACCCTGGGGCCTCAGAGAAAGGGCACGTGGGGGGACAACATGCCGAGGCTGAGGGCCCAGGTGGGCCGAGCAGAGCAGGCCCAGGGCCTGGACAGGATGAGCTGACCTGCTGTCACCACGGTCAGCCTGTCACGTGAGAAGTTTAAGATACACACACACACACACACACACACACACACACACACACACGCACACACACACGCACACACACACACGCGCACACACACGCACGCACACACACGCACACACACGCACACACACGCACACACGCACGCGCACACACGCACACACACACGCACACACACACGCACGCACACGCACACGCACACGCACACACACGCACGCACGCACGCACGCACACACACGCACACGTCCTCCAGACGCCGCGTATTTCATAACAGTGTGATTATTTACCAGTTCTAGCTGTCCTTTCTTCCATCCCCAAGTGCGGGGGGCAGGTGAAGTGGGGAGAGGCTCAGAGGTGTGGCTGATAACAGATCCAGTCATTTTTTATTTAAGTCAGTTTAAATAGTGTCACTGAAAGAGTACTTAAAGTTCATAATAAAAACAGAACTTTAAATTTTATGCTACTCCTTTGTGACACAGTAAACAGTCACATTTTCTCAGTGATGAATTAGAATTACATCTTGATGCCTCGCTACAGAGGCTGTCCATGACATCCTGCAAAGGACTAATGAGCTGTGCGCGTGTGTGCGCGCGCGTGTGTGTGTGTGTGAGACAGAATCTCTCTCTCACACACTCAGATACAAGAGACAGTGGTGGGTGGACCCAGCCCTGCACACAAGGCCACCTGCCATCTCTCATGACCGTCACGGGCGCCCTCGGGACTCCAGCCCTAACCTCAGCCTCACCTGGCCCCTCCCCAGGACACAGCAGAACGCGGCCCACCTCTGGGCCCCAGGGAACGAGAACCCTCACGCCCACCGGGGTGCGGGCTTGGGGCACTCACAGGTCACACCTCACCTCTTCCTGAGCCCCCCTCCAAGCCCCCCTCCTGCAGGTGAGGAATGACCACGCCCAAGGCCAGAGCAAACACTCACCACTTTGAGCTCCGGGACGGATCGACTTAACGTCCATTCCTGGCTGTTCACAAAGGCATCTGTAAAACAGGAGGGTAAAAGGAAGTGAGATGCTGAGACTCACCGAAGTGCAAGGTCAAGATACCCCCAAGGCGCCAGTTTTCAAACGGGAAGGACACCGAAGACGGTCCAGCCCACCCCTAGCATCACTTCCACCCAGAGAAGCTGAGATGTGCCTGGTTCACACGGCTGTTCCAATTCCAATCCGTGTCCTGCCTCTTAAAACGTAACACACGCTCCAACAACTCCGAAGTCCTGCCCCAGCCCTGTAGGGCCCACCCTGCCCAGGGGTGTTAAGACCCTTCCTATCGCGAATGTGGGCAAGTGTGAGGACGAAGGAAGCTCCTGGCTTTCCTGGAAATGACCCTGTGGCCAGTGAACTTTGGGCCTTTTGGGTTTTCACTAAAATACTCACTTGCCTGAAATCCCCCCAATGAAGTTATGGTAGGTGATGGTTGGAAAATCCAAGTGTTTACAATCCGACACTATGGTTTAGAAGAAGACTTTCAAGCTGGAGTTTTGATCCTCAGAAACATATTAGACACTGAAGATCCAGTGAGAACACCTTGGGATGTGTCAGAAAGTCAAGGGGGAGGACTTCCCCGGTGGCGCAGTGGTTAAGAATCCGCCTGCCAATGCAGGGGACACGGGCTCAACCCCTGGTCCGGGAAGATCCCACATGCTGCAGAGCAACTAAGCCTGTGCATCACAACTACCGAGCCTGCACTCTAGAGCCTGTGAGCCACAACTACTGAGCCTGTGCTCTACAGCCTGCAAGCCACAACTACTGAGTCCGTGCGTCACAACTACTGAGCCTGTGCTCTAGAGCCGCGAGCTACAACTACTGAAGCCCATGCACCTAGAACCCGTGCTCCGCAACGAGAAGCCACCGCACCGCAACAAAGAGTAGCCCCCACTTGCCGCAACTAGAGAAAGCCCGCGCGCAGCAACGAAGACCCAACACAGCCAATAAATAAATAAATAAATAATAAATAAAGTTATTAAAAAAGAGAGAGAGAGCGCTGTTGCTGTGCTTGTAACAACCCAAGGCTGGTTACGTACGTTTGGATACATCCACGTAATTAAGGCTAAGTCGCCAACAAAATGTTTAAAACCCCAACGTACCAAAGTGCAGCCATCCCAGAGCTATAGGGTTGGGGGTGTGTGTGTGTGTGTGTGTGTGTGTGTGTGTGTGTGTCTGTGTGTGTGGGTGTGTGTGTGTGTGTGTGTGAAATACCCACACAAGCTTGTCCATGCTGAGAACACTTCTGGAAGGATTAAAAAAAACTTCACAGTTGCTGATCTAGGGTTAGGGAACCAGGTGGCCTGGGGACAAGGTAATGAAGAGATTTTCTTTTCATTGTCACCTTTTGGTACCTTCCACATTTTCTACCATCTGGCATGAAAAAAAAAATTCACTAATATAGTTTTTAATAACCTTAATAGGAAAACAAAGAGAGCAAAGTGGGAATTAAAATGAGCTCCATTCACTAATGCACGGCCGATATTTAAGCACATACCACCAAAGATTATGTTTATCACAAGTATTACATATTCATTATAAATTAAGCAGGGCTCCATTAAAGAAAGACGCGTATTATATAAACACTGCAACAATGTGTGTGGTGCCTTTTTACTTGCAAACATATCTTCCCTCAAATGGAATATATTTGTTTGTGGCAACTAGCTTAATAAAATCAATGCCTGATCTACCTGACCAGATTAATAAAATTAATGCTTGACTTAACCAGAAAAACACATCTTCAGTTTTTAAAGATTTACTTTAAAAATGTTCATCGCCTCCATCATTGCCCGGGCAGGACTGAATGCTGCCTCCCAAGAGGCTAAACGAAACATAACAAAGATGCAGCAGAAGACATACACACCAGATACTCCTTCGCGCTAGTCCTCTATGGATTGGGACCTTTCTGTGGGCTGGACTCCCTAAGTGGGAGTTACAGGGATGACAGTGCAGCCCCTCTGGAAGAGTTCATCACGGGGTGAGCAGGGTGGGGACCATGGCGACCAGACCAGCCGGCTGCTCTATTTAAGTCCCACGGTGCAGCAATCCTTAAAGGATAAACACACATGCGTCGGGGGCACACACCCAGCAGCCTGTGCGTGTGTGCGTGTATGGCAACTCGTGTATGGGAAAGCGTGTGCACGTGCACGTGTGTTCTCAGAGCAGCTAGAACCAAAAGTCACGGAAGATGTGTCTCATTTCAGAAGAGGCCATTCCGCACTCCACTCAATTCCCCCACTTGGAGTAGAATAATCTTAAGAAAACACATCCCCATGCGCTTTTGAAATGCTACTGGACTTGAATTTAGAATAAAACACACCCAGTAAGCGCTGACTGACTGCTTTTAGCCTGTCGGGGACACTGAAGCCCCTTTAGCTGTCGTCACTGGGGGCCAGCATGCTGCGCGTCCTCTGTAATGACCCAATAGGGTTTAGGAAAAGAAGCCGGTTAGTCATTCCTGATCGTTAACATGGCTCCACTTCAGGTTACATTTTATCTTTTCAATTGAAATCATAATAGTGAAAAGAAATTCTCAAAGAACACAAAGATTAGGGAACCTGAAGTAACAGGGAACTTTTATCAGAAGTGAAGAACCCAAACTATTAGCTTCTTCAACAGAAATCTGAAGGCAGTTGGAGAAAGAAAGTGACCCCCCCCCCCCCCCCCCCGCCTCCAAAGCAGACTCAGGGACAGGGCCTAAGGACACAAGGGGAAGTTATCAGGACCGAGCAGGAAACCAAAACTGCTCAGCACTCGGGGGGAACTGTTAGGAATTTTAAGCAGAAATTCTCGGCCTAGTTATTCTGAGTTGACGACCAAAACGTGAAATTAAAGGAAAAGACACCAACTCCCTGCTGTCTCACTGGTGTGCCCACAGGTCACACGCATGGCATATTATTTTAGGACTTAAGAAAGGGAATTCTAAACAGTTAAATGTGGATGCCAGTAGAATTCCTTCCTAGCTTAGCCCTATATTAAGATAAAGTCCAGCGAAGCTCAGACATGAAAATGCACTGTATCCACACAATGCACACTTTTTTAAATACATTTGTTTATTTTATTTTTTTTTATTTTTGGCTGCGTTGGGTCTTTGTTGCTGTGCACAGTCTTTCTGTAGTTGTGGCACGCAGGCTTCTTGCTGCGGTGGCTTCTCTTGTTGTGGAGCACAGGCTCTAGGCGCACAGGCTTCAGTAGTTGCGGCACGTGGGCTCAGTAGTTGTGGCTCGCCGTCTCTAGAGCACAGGCTCATTAATTGTGGCACACGGGCTTAGTTGCTCCGCAGCATGTGGGATCTTCCCGGACCAGGGCTCGAACCCGTGACCCCTGCATTGGCAGGCGGATTCTTAACCACTGCGCCACCAGGGAAGCCCACAATGCACACTCTTATGATGCTGAGCAAAGAGGAAGCTGCCAGACCTACACTTTCAAAGGCAAAGGTGCTTGGGGTTTGAACAATTCGTGCTGAGCCCCTAGAAAAATGAAATTCAAACCACCTGGGTCATCCCTTTACGGCGTCCTCAGCAGTTTCTTTGTCTTTACGATTCTGGTGAGTGATGACGGAGCAGGCTGTGCACGTGGGGGGCGGGCATAAGGGGAATCTCTGTACCTCCCTCTCAATTTTGTTATAAACCTAAACTATTCTGAAAAAATAAGGTCTCAAAAAATGTAAACAAACATATATGTATATATACAAATACACGCATATATATAATATACACGCACATACACACAGACACACAATGAAATAAAGTGCCGAGCCTGGACCCCACCCTGCAGTGACGAGTAAAGTGCAGGTCGCGGAAGACGGCCGAGACAGAATGTATTTACAACACCACACTGTATTTATTCCTGTCTTGGTCCTAATACTGCTGACCACGCGGGTCACTGAGTGATAAACGTGTTTACACACACAGCGCTGCTGGAGAGCCAGCTCCTGGTGCCGCCCGGCCCGGGGGAGCCCTGAGAGCAGCGGGCAGCCTGGGCAGAGGGCCGGGCTCCTGCAGATTCCAACCAGCCTCCACCCAGAGGCCGTCTTGACAAATGGAACCACACACCGTGCACCTGGACCACCAGGGTGTGGTCAGCCCTCCTCAGCATCCCGGAGGGTGTGACTCGGGCTTTCTTAGGAAACCTGAAAGCGTGATGCAGGAGGAAAGCAGGGATTATACAAACACCAGGAGAAACTCTTCTCTGGGCCAGTTCCGCCTCCTCCAAGTAGACCTCCTTCCTCGTCCCCACTGGCCACTGCTTGTTTCCCAGGCCCACGGGCACCCCTGCCCCCGCATCCATCTGGTTTCGTCCTACTGAGGAGCAGGGTTGGCCCAGCTGGGCCTGCTGACCTGCAGGGTGAGGGCAAGCAGACGGCCTTCCACGGAGGGGCACAGACATCCTGGAGCTGGAAACAAAAGCCACACGGCAGAGGAAGGGGCCTGGACCCTGCAGCGGCCCCCGATCCTGGCCGGCCTAGGGGCCCCTCACCGCACCCCCTACACCCCAACACACTGGCGTGCACCCTGCTGTCCCTGAAACAGCCTGAACCCTCTTCCAGAGGACACGCACAGATCAACCCTTGACGGGGCTCCGGAGAGCATCGCAAGTGAACCCAAAGGATCGCAGAGGCCCTTCCCAGTTCTTCAGAAGGAGACACAGTCACCAAGGACGCGGGCTCATTTCAGAGAACAGCCCCTCTCCCCAGCAGCAGAGCTGCTTCTCTGAGCCCCTGGAGAAGAGCAAAGTTGCAGCGAGGCCTTCTTTCCGGAACCTCCCTTTCCAGGACCACCTTCAGCCACACCCTGGCTGCTCTCGGTGACGGAACAAGACCCTGGACCCCAAAGAATGCGAACAGCTCCTGACACCGACAGATGGAAGAGCAGGCCTAAGACCGTCGGGGCAGGAGCCGCAGAAACAAACAAAACACAAATCCAACGACAAAGCTACTCGGCTGTTTATTTTTATTTTCACTCCCAGGAGAACTGTCTCCTTTCCCTCGCCTGGACT